CTTCCAGGCTAACATCTGGCTTGCCGGGGGAGGGCTATGCCTGGGGAGCCTGCATCCCAGGGCAGTGTGGGGGTCCAGCACCTGCTCCCCACTGTGTATGACATGCATCCTGTCCATCAGTCTGCCCTGCATCCCCCAGCACCAACACCCAGGAGGCCAAGTCTTGGTGAGCTCTCGGGCAGTGTCTGAGAAACCACATTACAGACTTAAATGAGCTTGGTTTTTAATTTGATTTTTTTCCCCCTGCAACAAGCAAAGTTCACATTACAGATAAATTGCCCGGAAATTCCAATTTCATAAGGCATATGCATTTTGCAAGCCTAGAAGCACAGAAAACATCTTGCACGCTGGAGTTTTTGACACTGAAAGGTTTATTAAAGAAGACAGCTTTGAAGATGTCGGAAATCTGCATTGCTTGACTTGCCAGTGGGTCAGAAAGACTGATGTCACCATAGTGGCCCAGAACCAGGAAATGGAAGAGGAGGCCAGTTCCTGGTCCTAAGCTGCACCCCTTCTGCCTCCACTCCCCCAGGCTGAGAATATTGCACCTGCTACTGAGTGCCTGCCCCCACACGTGCGTCGGATGCTGTGGGCAGAGTGTGAGCAGTGCCAGGGGTGTGGAGGTGGCTCACAGACAGATGGTCCCCCTGCTCCCCTCTGCCATGGTTGTAATGCTGAATAGGAACAGCAAGCTGGATACCAGGGTCAGCCATAACACACACAGATAGCTATGAGGTTTCTGCAGGAACAGACACCAAATAAAACAAATAAATAGGGCCACCACCATGGTATAGTAAGCAAAGCCGCCAGAATCCCATATGAGCACCAGTTCGAGTCCCAGCTGCTCAACTCCTTAAAAAAATTTTTATTTATTTTTATTGGAAAGGCAAATATACAGAGAGAAGGTGTCACAACTGATCAAACACAGAGCGAGAAGATGCTTAAGGAGAAGTAATTTCATTAACTTATACTACAACCGTAATGCACACTTCCAGGATGATATGCTTTAAGAATACACAGCCTTTTATACCCCAACAGAACCCCAGGTGTCTTACAAAGCTTTCATTAATCCTTATGTAAGGCTAGCAGTTCTTAGAATAGTTTTTCTTATGCTAAAACTAAAAAAAGCGTACAAAAGAAGGCATTAACAGGGAGTCTGGGTGTGATTTGATCCATTACTTTCAGGAATTACTTGCAAGAGGAAAAGCTAGCAGCGAGGTTAGGGCTGCTTTCTTCTGTTATTTAGAACCAGAGACAGGAAGGAGAGGGTACCAAGCCTGGATCTGCTGCTTGGTGTGCCAACGTCAGTCACAACCCGGATGTTCCTGGCTTGTGACAAGCTTCCTGCCCAACAATGCACTCGGCTTCTTCAAGAAGGAGTTACAGAGAGAAAGATCTGTCCGTTGTTCCCTCTCCAAGTAGCCGCAATGACTGGAGCTAAACTGATCCAAAGTCAGGAGCCAGGAGCCTCTTCCAGGTCTCCCACACAGGTGCAGGTCCGAAGGCCTTGGGCCATCCTCTCCGGCTTTCCCAGGCCACAAAAGTGGGGCAGCCAAGACACAAACCAGCGCCCACAGGGGATCCCGTGCGGTGAGCAAGGCAAGAATTTAGCCACTAGGGTATTGCACCAGGCCCGCAGCTGCACAACTTCTCATCCAGCTCCTTGATTATGGCCTAGGAAAGCAGCTGAGAATGGCTCAGGTCCTAGTTCCCCTGCATGGGAGACCTGGAAGAAGCTCAGCTTTGCCTTTGTGGCTGTTTGGGGAGTGAATCAGCAGATGGGAGCACAAGCGCTCTCCTCCCTCCCCACCCTGTAACTCTGCCTTTCAAATATAAATAATGAATGAATGAATGAATAGGGGAAGCTATGATAGGAAGTCCTGGGAGAATGCAGTAAGTCCGGTATAGGTACCTCATTGTCTTTAAGGATTAAAACAGGGATCTTACACTGGCCTCTAAGCCAGCCCGAGTCCCGAGTCCCGGCTTCACGGGAGACTGATGCACACAGGTGTCACCCCTCAAGGGATGCTTCGGGGCTCCCAGGTCTGAGCAGCGTCCTGAGAACGCCCCCTTTGCAAGAAAGCAGTGTTAAGAGTTCTGTGACAGTGTGGCATCGTAAGATAAGGGAAGGGTGACAGGAGGAGACGCAGCATTGCTTGCATGCCCTCCAAGAAGCTGGAGTGTTTAATTCTGTTTTTATTGATGCTCTAAATGGAGCCGAGTAATCAGGGAATAAAATACGGTCCATTTAAAATTCCCATTATTTCAAACATACTGAGCCACCACAAATCACTTCTGGATCAACTTGTTTTCTGAAAAGATGGGAAACGGACGTCACTTTTTATCATCATTTCCATTCCTGTCCTCATTCCAACGGCAAGAGGACAGATGCCACTGATGCCGAGGGGGTGCCCACCCCCAGGGCCAGGCACCCCGCTCAGGCCTGGGTTCCGGAAGGAAGAACTCATGCCCAGTGTTAGGCCTGAGAAGCCGACCACATGTACAGTAAAGTCCTGGAACCAGCACACTGGCCTGAATCCCATCTCCATGCCTCTCAGCTGGACAGCTCTGGGCAAGGTGCTAAGGCTCTCTGATTCTTGTTCACCTCGAATTTCTAACATCTGCAAAGCTGTCTTCAGGCAAACCCCAAATCTGAACAATGCGGTGCCTGCATGGTGTTGGCCACAGGCTGGGTAGGGTGGACCACTTGGCCTGCCTTCATCAGCTTTGCCTCTCCTGACTCAGGGAGCTTAGAGCTGGATGAATGGGACACAGCCAGGGGCTCTTAGATGCTGTAGCAGGCCCTGTGATGTTTACATGCACCCAGCACACACCAGGGCCAGCAGACGGAGTCCCATAGGGTGACCGGGTGGGGTCATTGGAGCCAAGGCTTGAAACCCAGTCAGTTTGCCTGGTAGGAGTGTGAATTGATACTTAAACAACAGGCAGGCATTTTTAAAGCAAGTATTCCTGTAACATCTCTTCCATTTTTTTTTTAAGTTCTGAGATGAGGAGTAAGACCTGGAGGGGTGAGGGGATACCCCCAGCCAGCCTCCTAGGTGCTCCGTGTGTCCCTGGTGCCAGTGCAGCCATGGAGCATGGTCCCCAGGCACTGCGCCCAGCCCAGTGTGGGTCACTGGCCTCTGGCCACACAGATGCACTAACACTCCCCGGGCTTTCCTCTGCCGGCAGCCCGGCTCCCAGGGCCCTGCACCGCATGTCGGCCTCATGTTTCCCTCAAAGTACCCCTTGAGGTCCCTCGAATTACCCACCACTCACAACCAGGCAAGAGACTCTGAGAAGCACCATGCCCAGGGCACACAGCTCCAGGCTAGAGCTGATATTGTGCCTACCATGGACAGCAGGAAGAGGCAAAGCAGAGGTTAAGGGCAGGGCTCTGAGCCGCCAGCAGGGCCTGTTCCCCCTCAGCCCTGTCCCCGCACAGGCCAGCAGTGTCAAACCACCCGGTCTACAACCTGACCCTGCGACCCAAGCAGCTGTGGGGTCTGGGCCTCAGGCTCCTCATCTCTAAGTGAAGATATTTTGCCCACCATAAAAACTTAGCAGTGCTACTCTGCCAACTGCGTGGTCTGGCTCCCTCTTCCACAGTTCCAGAGGTCGAAATTCCAACAGCAGTCTCATCAACTACGCATCAAGGGGTCTGCAGGACCCCAGTCATGCCACCCTAGTTCCCAGTGGCTCAGCTTGCCTTGGTTCCTGGCTGCCTCCCTGCAGCCTCTGCTTCCGGGCCTTGTGGTTCCCCCTTCTCCACACATCTCAGCTCCTCTGAGCCTGCTCCTCCCACAAAAAGCTATGGGTGCTTATACCCCATATCCCAGCTGAGACAGACTATTCTGCCCTTCGCAACTCAGAGCTGCCAAGCCCTTGTAACAAAACAAAACCGGGATCCCTGGGGTAGGACGTGGGTGTCTTTGCCCCTCCCAGCTCTTCTCTTGCACGCTGACAATCCTGTTGCTGAAATCCATTTTTCATCACCCTTAGCACCACAGACGACCATCCAAGACGGGGATGGCTGACCTCAGGCGTCTTTCCAGGACTCAGCCTATCAGGTCTCTCCATGGGGATGGATGTCACAGATGGGCAGGAAGTGGCAGACACCCCAGCCGGCATCTTTCTGGCTTAAGAATGCAAATGGCTCCTTATCACTCAAGCCAGGCAGTTAAAAAAATTAACTTACATTCTGTTTTAGTTTCTCTAACACACAAGTCTTTCATTTCTAATTTTATGCATCATATCGCTTGAACTTCTTACAAGGAGCACGTATTGCTTTTGCGGCAGCCTCAAAAGACATATAACATGTTCAGATTCTCTGATAATTTCCTGTTACCCAAAACCCAAACCCCCTGACAACAATCCTTTGGGATCTGATCTCATTTCCCTGAAAGAGACTACATTGTTGCCCGCCTTCCACCTTCTGGTTCCCGAGATTCCCTGTACTGAGCCACTATCTATTGAGTGCTGTGTTGATGCTAAGCAGTGTTCTGAGTGTGCAGGCACAGCTGTGAACAAACACCTATCCTTCGCATCGCTCCCTCCTCCTGACACACCTGTCTTCTCATCCTGTGCCAACTCCCTGCCTGTTCATCCTCTGTGGGACCCCAAGAAGCAGAGCCTGTATGCATGTGCACTGGTCTCACCCACCACGTGCGAGATGCATCCAGGCTGTGAAAGCCATGAGCCTACACTTGGGCTCCAGATGGGAAGGTGAGCTCCCTTTGCCTGTCAGAGATCTGGGAAGACAGGAGGACGGAGCCTCTCTCTCACAGGCGGGGTGTGAGGGATGAGGAAGCATGCCTACCAAGTGCTTAGCTCAGGGAGGGCCCAAGGGAAACGTTTGACATCAGGAATGAGCCACTGCCACTGAGACAAGGTTTTTGAATTTGTGTGAAGCATGAACCTGCGCCTGGCGTAGGAGCCACTAAGTATTTCCTGAATCTAATTTCAATGTGAAATGACCTTGGGATTTTCCTCCCCACCAGGTATTCTGTTTACAAGGACCCTGCAGGCTGGCTGAACATCAACCCCAGCAACGGCACCGTTGACACCACAGCTGTGCTGGACCGTGAATCTCCATTCGTCCACAACAGCGTGTACACTGCCCTCTTCCTAGCTATCGACAGTGGTGAGTAATCCAGAAAAGACCAGCAGGGGTCTGCTTCTCTGTAATAGATGTTATGTGGACCTGCTATTCCCTCTTTCCTCTCATTGCTTTGGATACGCCCAGAGTGTTGGGAAGCAAGTGTTTAAACACATGCTTGTGGAGTCAGGGGTCTGAACACTGAGTTTATGGTGTCCTGGCTCAGACAGGGGCTGAGGTCGGTCCTGGAGCCACACACTCATTTGCAGAAGGGATCCTTTGATGTAATGCAGGTTACAGAGGATGCCTCTGATCCCAACAATCGAGTTGTTTCCCTGACTTTTATCCCATTTGGATAAGCAGCCGTGGAAAAGGTGAAGCGCACTTAGAGCTGTCATCACAAGGGCAAGACTATTGCTGTTCATTCCAAACACCCCACTCCAGATGCCCGGGACACCTCAGCAGACAAAGCAAAACCTTTCGTTGGGAGCTGATGTCCACAGGGAGACCGAGTGTCAAAGGACCACTTTCTGCTCCCTGCAGACCAGACTCTAGGGCCAATGGCAGAACTAGGGAATCTGTGCTAAGTCCATATGGGATTCAGGCAAGATGGCAGCCTGGACCAGGAGCAGGAGATGGACCCTGGGGACAGGGCCAGAATCTGGATGCAGAGCTGGCAGGACCTGCCATTACCTAGGACAGCAGTTTAGGACACTTTAAGCTGAGACATCTATTGGATAATTTGCATAAGAGGTTTTATCTTTCACGTTGTGCCTGAAAGCCAGATGTTCCAATTTGCGGACTTGGGTTTGAGTCCTTAAGATCAAAGTGAAATGTTCAGGGTTCTTTGTAGGTGCCCATCTCTCTACTCAGCAAACAAGGGGCAGTTGGGATCCTTGGGTTCAGTCACTGTACACTGGAGATGCCCACAGCCCAAGGGGGAGGATTCACGTCTGAGAAAGAAGCAGGAGGCAAAGGGGGCATCACCACAAGGTCCACCTTCAAGTGCAGCTCTAAAAGGTGGGCGGAATGTGGCTGAGCCATGAGGCACAGGTGCCCAGGTGGGCCATGCATGTGTGGCTGAGTCACAGGGCACAGGTACCCAGGCATAGAGCAGAGAAATTCCAACGCAGAGAAGAGCAGGAGGGATGGCAAGGGCACCAGGTGGAAATGGGGGTGTCTCAGTGGACACGAGCAGAACAAGCCATGTCTTCAAAGCCACACGAGCCTTCCAGTGGAGCAGGCAACTGAAAGACACCACATGATGAGAAGCAGCACAGAGACGCCTCAGCCTAAGCTGGAGCGGGTGCTGTGCCTGGTCCTGGACAGCAGAGCAATACTATTGGTGCCTCATATTTGGTGAATCACATGCAGAGTGAGCAAAGCAGGGAAAGGTCTGTGTAGAGTGTCACTGCTGTTCTTATGTCCCCAAACCCCCTCGTCGAGCCTGGGGGAGTTCCCAGAGGAATGGGACACCACAATGAGGAAAGATACATTGGCATAAGTAGGACATTCTAGTAGAGGCCTGAAAGAACATAGGTACATGGGAGATTTTGGAAAATTGGCCAGCATTGCTGGAAATCGCCATGGGGGACTCCAGGTGTGCAGCGATGGAGCTGCTGGCCGAGGGAGGCACCAGGCAGGTCAGGGTTGGAATGGCTCTGGCGTGAATGCCTAGCACATCTTGCAGGGCCGGGTTCACAGCAGCCACAGAGTAGAACAGGACATCCCCTCTAAACGCTCCAGGTGCTGGTCAAGGAGGCAGCTGGATGAACGTCTCTCACTTGTTTCCAGGAAAAAAAAAAAAAACTTTGGAAAAATACCTTTTACTGTAACATATAGAGAGGCTATGGCGGGGGGGAACCCTTGAGGTTAAGAGAGGAAGGGATCCGAGCATGATGTCATAAATTAGTAAGCTAAGCCTTAGTCCATGGCATTGGCATCCCATATGGCACCAGTTCAAGTCCTGACTGCTCCACTTCCGATCCAGCTCCCTGTTTGTGGCCTGGGAGGGCAGTGGAGGATGACCCAAGTGCTTAGGACCCTAAATTCATGTGGGAGACCCAGAGGAAGCTCCTGCCTCCTGGCTTCAGAATTAGTTCAGCTCTAACCATTGCAGCTACTTAGAGAGTGAACCAGCAGATAGAAGATCTCTGTGTGTGTGTGTGTGTGTGTGTGTGTGTGTGTGTGCGTGTGTGTCCTTCCTTCAAAAACTCTGCCTTACAAATAAAAATAAAACCTTTTTTTGAAAAGAGGAAAGGACCCAACCCAAGGCAGTGAAGTTAGTGTGGGTGGAACAAGCACGCATTTGGAAAACCTCTTAAAGAACCACAGCAAACGTGGCCAGAGTCGGCCTAGGGCAGCGGAGTGGGGAGGAAAGCTGATGCTGAGTAGCATGTGAGAGGAAGAGGCAGAGCTTCATAGAGAACATAAGCAGTCCACGAAGTAAAGAAAGATGATATTCCAGAAATCAGGAAAGACAGTGGGAAACTGCAGTCCCAGACTTCATCCTTATGCTCCTGGGGTGTCAGTGCTGATGTCCCACAAGGAGCCAGAAGCACAAGCCCGGAAAAGGGCACTGGAGCTAAGCCATCTCCTGCAATGCTGACATCCCATGTGAATTGCAGCTCATGTTCCAGCGGCTCCACTTCCAGTCCAGCTCTCTGGATTTTGTTCTTGGCTCCCTGCCACCCACATGGGAGTCCCAGGAGAAGCTCCTGGCTCCTGACTTTGGCGTGGCCCAACCCAGGCGATTGTACCGTCCGGAGAGTGAAATGGCAGATGGAAGATCCCTGACTCTCTACCTCTCCAGTCCCTCTCTGCAACTCTGCCTTTCAAATAAATAAATAAGTCTGAAAGATAAAAAGGAAAGAAGACTTTGCTCAGGGAGCCACCTGAGGGGAGGAGGTGGGAACTGTCAGGACAGTGCTGAGGGCGGTGCCAGTGGATGGCAGAGCCGGACAGGGAGTCCATCACAGATCAGCTGCAGACTGTCTGTCCTCGGGGAGGACTCTGTCAGCTGGGAACGCCCTGTGGGGAGGCTGCCTGGGGCCCGGCCCAGGTGTCACTGCCTGGGCACTGCTTCACACAGTCACTAATCAAACAAGAAAACTAGGCTCGCCGTGCCCTTCAGTCCCTGTCAGGAACGACAGCCCTCCCGCCGCGCATGCAGCCATCAGTCAAACGGCGTCTTGTCCACAGCGTCACGGAGGACTACAACCCGCTGTGTACAACAGACACAGACTCGCGTTGACCCCCCAAGTCATTTTCTTCCTTAGCTTTCTCAGCTCTTGAACTCCCTTGAAAAATCTCTGGAAGCAGCTTCCTAAGGTTCTCTCCAGTCGCGCCCTAGCTGTCTGTGGTTAAAGGCGTCCCTCCCTCAGTGTGGTCAGAACTGGGTGCCACCTGCCAGCCCCGGGATTCTCCCAGCTCTCTGCAAGCGCCTGAGAACTGTGGGCCGCCAGACTGTGCGAGCCGCTCACAGACTCAGTGCTCCATGAGGAAGATGAATCCTGCCAAGGATGCTCCCCACCCTGACTCTCTATCAAAATCCATATTAAGTGTTTGCTGAAGGTTAATCCCACCCCACTAGGGGTGCTGAAGAGAAAGGATTAATCCTCCATAGCCCAGGAAAAAAACAGAGTTTGAAATCTACCCCCTTGTCTTACCCTGTTAATACCAACATTCCAAATCCAGGGTCACAGATGTTGCCAGAATGTCCCTAAGAACGTGGTAAATAGAGGACCGGTTGGTGGTAACACACAGCAGTGCTGTCAGGAGGGACCATCTCGAGCAAGCCAGAACTAGAGCAAAGAGAATGTCAGCTTAAAAGCCTCATTAAATGAGACTAATTTGTGTTCCAAGGCTCCTTTTTGTTGTTCACAGAGATCTTATTTCCAGGTATTATGTTTGACCAGGGAAAAAAAACAAACAGCACTTCTCCGTTAGATCAAAGACAACAGCACCAACTGATGTCTCAACTTTGTTCAAAGCAAGCATTTTTATTAATTTTATAGAAATTCAATTTATTTGATGGAATGAAAGAATAAGGATTCTTGTCACACACACTAGAAAAGCTAAATCAACTGATTCTCTCGGAAGTCACCCAGGAATTTCCACAAGGCCGCAGGAATTTCCATATAGGATGCAGTAAACCAGTGTCTCCCCACCCTGTAAAACAAGAAAGATCCAACTAAATTACAGAAAGCAGATGATGCAAGAATTCTTAATTGTAAAGTGCCAAGAAAGCTGCACAAAGAATGAAGCTTTAGCAACATGAAACAGCAACCAGGGAGAGACTCTCCAAAGCAGGACGAGTGCAGTTCAACCCCTGGGGCATTTTCTGCTTGTGGACAACAGTTGGAGGGCCAGGAAGCAGAGACACGTGTGAGAATCTGGAGAATCCGTGTGACTCTGAGGAAACTTAGGGACCTCAAAGGCAAGGTCATTCTCCCCAGTATTGACAGTCCACAGTGGCCTCTCCCTGGGCTCCCTGGGGAACAGACCTGCTGGAGGAAGTAAGCTCCCTGCAAACACGCAGACACACCCTCCCTGACGATGTTTGCTGGATTCTGAAGATTTACAGAGATTGCAGGAAGGGATTGAGACGACCAGGCATCTTCAGGGCAGAGCCGGACCTCCTGCGGCCTTGCTGGACTGATGCTCAGAGCCCTCAGAAAAAGTCCTGGGAGGGCTGCAGCCAGCCACTGTGAGAAACCAGGAGCCGGATCTGGTCTGGCTGGAACCCAGCTCAACCCTGACAGCTAAGGCCAGCTGCCTCCTCCCTGCCTACGGCAAGACAGGGAGTGTCACTCTCCGACATCTTACACCCAAGTTACAATTTAACAACTTACTGATCCTGTAAAGAACTAATGACCGAGGAAGAAAACAGACCCAGGAAAGATCTGGGGACTTGAATTAGCACAAGAAGGTTTTACAATAACTGTAGCTGATGTTTCATGGAAACAGAATCAACATCTTCACTTAAAGAGAATTACACCCTGAGAGTCAGGAAGGCAAAATTAAATGGAAACTCCAGATCTGGA